CAGCTAATGAATTGCTATTAATAAGCTGCTATAAATGTACCCCCCCCTTCTTGGGGGAAGCTGAAGTCAAAGTTTAAGGGCTAATGATAAATATCATAAAGCCTGCCATTTGAAATAAAAAAAAATAAAAAAATAAAAAGTCTTTAAAGCAGCGGTTGACTTCTGACCTCAAACTACCATTGTCCGACTACATGCCATAATCGACCACACCCACAGTACTCATCTTTCCTTTTTCTCTACCTTTGTTTCGCTCTCTTTTACATCTGCGAATATCACTTCTATTCCCCCCCCCTCCCCCCCCCCTTTTTTGCTTTTTTTCCACAATAAAAATGACTTTTTGTGCTATTTACCAATAATAAATCGTCACAAATCAGGGTCAAGTAACCTTGCTAATTAAGCCTGTGCGCTTTTTAACCTGATCGCCTCACTTCTATGCCCCTTGATAAAAAATAGGACTGCAGAGCCATCTTTTCAACTGTCTCAGCAATACTTTAATGGGAAGAAAGTTTAATGCCTATGCAGCTGGACAAGGCAACTGGAAATTAGTTAAGGGGTATTCTGATCTAGAAGCATGAATTTTAAGTCATTTTTGAAGTGCTTTATAAAAAAGCAAACAATATTTTTATTATCAATTTTTATACATTATTTATTCACATTAGAAGCATGCAAAAAAATTTAAAATTCCGTTAGTTATCAGCTGATGGAGTGGGACGTCTCAAAAATATGGTGCGTGACCATACCCACGATTTCAACTCTCGAAGCAATCTGAAATCAAAAAAGATTATCAATCTACAATTATGTCGCTATGTCCGGAACTACGGAAAAGTTTTAGAATATTTTTTTACAAAGTGGCGACTGTCTAAAGAAAAAACCCATTTTCGTATCCCTATTTTGAACATTCTTCGATTTTTTAAAAATAGAAAAAATGAAAATTTGGGGATGGACGTAGTTCCGGCAGAACTTGAGAAATCGTGGGTATCAGATTAAAAAAAACAGTTTTGAGAAAAACGCGTTTAAAGTTTCAAGTAAAACTTTTGGCAGTCTAAGTCATAAAATTATATTTTAACTTACATTTATTCAATCTGCCGTTCCTGCTGCCTTCATCGAACCTTCCTCGACTTCGAAAAAAACTATTTTCGGCGTCTTTGTTTTCTATTCGAGCAGTTCTGGCCTCCTTTGATGCGCTGGATGCTCGTATCTCGGAGCGGTCAATCCGGGCGTTGTCTCGTCTGATAGCAAATGCATGTGCTTCTGGACAAATTTTCACTCTCATAATCGTCATCATCTTCAATATCGGTATAAAACCTTCTTTAAAAATACAAACAACAATAAATGTTGTAATTTCAATGATCGGAGACCCGGAATGGATTTGCTTTAGAGCGAAAGTCCATATCAGCGAGTTTAAAGACTCATCATTATTTTGAGTTTATGAACCCAAATATCGAATCAATAACTCTTCTGGTGATAAACTTCGAAGGGTTTGTCAACGAATGGACCTGATGGAATGTAGCGCAGACTATTGCAACTGCATTGTGATGCAATTTCGAACCCAAGTCCACGTTGAGCCGTTCTTGAAAATATACTCTCGTTGTTGTATGTAGTGCACGAAATAAACGAAGAAATTGTTGAAAAGACCGTCACAAACTGCAAAACACAGTAGCCGTAATTATTATCTATAAATACTTCTTCTTCATTTGATTTCCTCAAATTTGCTACTGATACACTCGTAAAACTGGTGTTTTCCTGTTCCGTAAATCTATTGCTGTGAAATATATATATACATATTTTATTTATTTCAAATGGCAGGCTTTATGATATTTATCAAATATCCCTTAAACTTTGAATTCAGCTTCCCCCAAGAAGGGGGGGGGGGTACATTTATAGCAGTTAATTAATAGCAGTTCATTAGCAGTCTTCTTGCTTCCCAGTATCTTTGGCTTTCCGTACTTGTCTTTAGAGCTGGACACCGAATCAGGTGGGTCTTCTCCATTTCCTCCTGTAGGTCACATAGAGGGCATGTGGGTTGAGTGTATAATCCCAATCTGTGAAGGTGTTTTGCCAAGCAATCGTGACCGGTACGTAGTCTGATCTCAGCAACGGCTTCGATTCTTGGCCAGTCGGGTATGTCGGAGAGTGCCACTGTCCACTGTTTCTCCTTTGTTCGAGCTTTGAGTTCGTTGAACCTTGAGATCTGGAATTCTCTCCTGATTAAGGCCATCATTGTGTGGAAAGACATCGACCAGTCCATGGATTGCAAAATCGTTGTCCCCTTCTTAGCAAGTGTGGCAACTATATCAATGTCTGCTAATGGGTTCATGGGGGGAGAGAGGCTTTTTGATTTGTCATCGATTTGTAATGCTTTCTTCAGTTCTATGGCTTTCTGTATTAGACCAGATTGAGCTTTCAGGCGTCTTGGTCTATTCTCATAGGTGCTGAAGAACTTGTCCATGGGAATGCGCAGTAGCTTCTCGTACAGGATCAAGGCCTTTTCTTTGATAAGGGAACATCGCATCAATGGGTGTTGATTTTATCCCTCCAGTAGTTAGTCGTAATGCTTGGTTGTGTGCCTTCTCGAGGGGTTTGAGAGTCACCTCTGTGGCTGTAATGAGTGGCTCACAGCAATACAACATTATTAGCTGAATAAACATCTTGTAAGTGGTGTTGAGGGTTGAGCGTGCACAGCCCCATACGCTACCAGCAAGACGCTTCAGGACATTCAGTCTATTGGAGACTCGTTCTGTTATTTTAGCAATGTGACTTTTCCACGTTAGCTTCGTGTCAAAAGTCATTCCGAGATATGTGAACTCATTGGTTTTTTCTATGGTAATATCCTTGTACCTTAGAAACGGGTTTATGCTCTGATGGGCCAAAGAAAAAGTTTGGAATGCAGTTTCCGCGGTGTTGATTACCATTCCATTGTTGTCGCACTAGTTTGCANGTCGGTGGTAAGCAATTTGCTGTTTAAGCGTATTGGTTCTTTCTTGGGTCTTTCCTTGTTGTTTTGGAGGTTACCCATGAATTTGAAAGTGCGTTGGCTATCATTTTGACATTTGAGATGAACTTGTCGAAGGAAGTGCGTTTAGCTTGTAAGATGGCTTGCCTTAGGACAGCTGATTGTCGTCTCCAGGCTTTTACGTCTTCCGTTCTTCCAGTCTGATCAGCAGTGTTGCGAAGGGCGTCCCTCTTTCTTTTCAGTTCCTCAAGGTATTTAGACCAAAACACTCGATAGTGTTTAGTCTTGCCTCGGGGAATAGTTTTCTTTGCACATCTGATCATAATATTTGTGATATCAGTGCAAAGTTTGTCAGGATGTTGGTTGAAGTTGAGGGGACTTGTGTGAAGTTCATTCTCCAAAAGGTTTGTGAATCTAGGCTAGTTAGACATCTTGAAGTTCCATGATAGCTTAGTTGGCACTTTCCTTGACATGCTTTTGCTGCCGAAGGTAATACTAGCAACGACTGGTTTGTGACCAGAACCAGGATCTTCAATTATTTTGCGGCGTGTATGCTCGCTGATTTCGCTTGAAGCCAGGAGCAAGTCAGGAGGTGTTCTGGTTCCATTGTAGTGCAAATATGTAGCCGGATCCTCAGTGCTGTAAACAAGTTCCAGAGGGTTGCTGTTTAGCATGTCTTCAATTTCCTTTCCAGCTATGTTTGTATTCTTGCAGCCCCATCTGGTGGATTGGGTGTTGAAGTCTCCTAATACTACAGTTTTGTGTGAGATGTTCAGAAAGTCAAAGTTGGGACAATTCTGGGGAGGATTATAGACTGCATATATCTTGTAGTGGTTTTGACTTTTCCAAAATCTAATTGACTATTTTGCATATGTCTTGTGTCGAGCCCATACTCATGATTAGATCATAATGTAAACTGAGGCCTTCTTTTACTCCAATCAGAATTTCACTTACAATTTGCCGGTATTTAGGTAGAAGGTACAGGCTGTAACCTGGGAATTGGCTTTAGGTAGATTGTACAGGGTGTAACCTGGGAATTGGTGGCCTTCAGTTTGTCATCCGAAAGGTTTGCTTCCATAATTGTGGAAATATCTACATCATAGGTTTATAGGATTTTCTGGACTTGGATCTTTTTGTCCTCTGACATCCCTCCAGCATTCCACTGGAGGATCTGTGGACGTTTTGATTCGCCCTGACAAGGGTGATTTCTCTTATAGCCTTGTTTCAAGCTAATCATAATAAATCGAAGTCAAAAACGAATGCCGAGTGATAGACTTTTTTACCGTACGAAGATACGTTGTCCAGGGTGCAGCACGTAGAGGTAAGTCTATCGCGCACCTCTTACTAAGAAACATAGATTCAGGTAGTTGGAGAACCCATTGAGTCTTTTGTTTGATTAGTTACAGCCCAACCGATTTGGATGCCTGCTCAGCAAAATACTTATATATCCGAAAATAATATGAATTTTGGAAAATCCTCTCGTAGACATATTCTTGAATAGTTAAACTATGAAAATATGCAAAAAAATTTCGGACTTTTTTTTCTAGACCAGAATACCCCCTTAGCGGAAATTTTTCATCACTAATGACTTTAGAATTAATATGCGCAGGAATCAAAGTGAATGAGAAGCCAGTATTGAAACAGATAAGTGAATATCAATTAGTTTTAATTTTATGTAAATGTATTGCTGCTTTACATCTTTTCTTATACTAATGATGAAAATTTGTTCATATATTTAGAGCTTTCGATAGGATAAATGGAAGTAATGTTAATTCGAGCCAATTTTATTGGACAATCCACTAGAAATGATCTGGTTGTGTTGAAACAAATACATAATTTGTAATGTATTTGGTTTTACATTTTTTGACTTCTTATCGCATGTCCTCCTTTAAAATAAATACGGCCAAGAGAGTTAGGCCTAGGAATCACACATTGCAAGGGAGATCTCGAAATAAAAGATATTGAAGAGAAAGAAGTGACACATGAAATATTTAATATCTGTTTTTTTCATTAAGATATCATGTAGTAAACGTTTCAGATAAGAGAGGATAAAGTCGTTACCAATCTGCGAAAGTATGACTAATCGGAACATGGAGTTCACAAATTATTTTGTTCTGAATTTTTAAACTACCTTTTGAACGCACTCGTATTATCAATGCTGCGAATGGCATCCTGGCGGAAAGCCTTAATTAGTCTAAGAACTACCAAATATTTCACGTAAGAAGTCTTTTTTGTTATTTTGCCGTCACGTTAATTCCCAGAATATTCATCAGGTCGAAAGTGTTCGTAACATCAGATCGATTGTTTCAATTCGGACCAAGGACTGTCTTAGATACTACTGAAATTTTTATTGATGTGAATTTAAATTTAGCTACCCCAGTAAGGTTTAATTATATTTTTGTTAACAGCGCTACCCACTACGCTTGGTCTTTGTCTCCCTAGAGTTAGCCACACTTGACATAATGCTACTGAAATAATTAACATCAATTATGCAGATACTTCAACTGTGAATCCCCATATTTCCGAATAGCACTATCTAACTCCAATGAGCTTCAAATGAAATTACATACCGACACACTTTAAAGAATATGTGGAAATACAGTTTAGAGCTTTTTTGGAATTCATGTTTTAACATTTAATATAGCAAAAAACTTGTATGTTGAAGGTTATCTCGTTTGCCATATGTTTGAAAGACTTAAAAATGAAAATCCTTAGCTGCGAACTCTTTATTGGTTAATTTCGACAAAATGATTGGGGATGCATAATCGACCAACAAAATAACTCTGAACCTCGTGTGCCACCCAAGCGTGAAGTTGCGGGCGCGCGTACAATTTGAACACCACAAACAAATCAATTGACACCTTTGTACTCTGCCTTTATTGTCAACCTTTAACCATTCATTGTACTATTCTATTTTTCCCAGTTCTTCAACTCTACAATACGTTTACAAATACTTAAATATTAGTAACAAATTCACTTGCATTTCAATAATATCCTCTACGTATCATGACACATTTTGTTGGTGGAATAAAGGCGCGTATCTTTAGATGAATGGGTTCATAAAATTGAGCTTTCGAGCCTTGATCATGGGTGTATTCCACAAAGTAAGATAGTTTGTAGAGCATATTGGCCTGTTCAAGTCTAAACTGATCACTCAATACAGGTTAAAATTTCGAGGTTATATAATTGGCAAAAGGATTTGAGAGGACTAACTAATCTCAACATTATGGAGTTCCTTTTTAGACTCGACAAAACTCAGCGCCAAACAAGACTCGGTTCATAGTCAGCGTTCGATTATCAAAAGTGCCCCATTGTGGTGATTTTAACTAATAAAGCAAGTCATTCCAGATGAAAGAAGTAACTTATATCAGTAAGAACCCCGATACATCCTTCAGAGAGTTCAAATGCAAATGAAAGTGGCAAAACTTCCAAGTGTGAGTTGGAATCTCTTTTGTGGTTGGTGGATAGAGATGATCCTGGAGCTCTTATCACTATTGGGCTAAGAGGCTCGCGTGCTAGTAAGAGGCGTTCACCCAATCTTCCCACCTTCTTCCTAATTTGTCATCAGATTGAATTTAACATGGTAATTTGTGTTATTTTGCAACAATATGTGCCACTTGTAAAGTTCATAATGACTGGAACGTTGGCTTTAAATAGGGAGTTGTGAAGTAGATGGTGACAAGTTGGGTCCAATATTTGAAATAACTTATTGCCAAACATTGTTCCTAAAATTGCCTTGCATAAAATGCACAGATGTGATGGAATTTGACCTCGGATTATGCCACCTGTTATTGTACTAATAATATGATATTGCACCATATTAATAATAGGTGCATAATATCTGCACTCACTTATGCTTAGTCAAGGCATTTATCTCAGTCTGGAAATTATGTATTTATTGAAATCATAACCAAACACGCCTGAGCGTTAAATATGTGAAATTTGAGAGTGTAACGTAGAAGGTGACCACGTCTTAAATCACTCAGATTGCCAGGCAAAACAAATGTGTGGTTTTGTACTACACCTTCTTACTGGCTAGGCTTCCGTGTATATTGATGTGTAAGTGTTGAATAGGGAGATTCATAATTGATCAACGCGTGACGACCCTATGCGTTTCAATTAATAACCATTAAAACATTTATAAAGATCTTTGTTTTGTTGTATACATGTTTATGGTATTTTGGTGTTCCATTTTAGATAGTTCATAATCCGACGGTGTTTCAATTAACCAACTGATTATGAATTATCTGTGTAAATATTTAGAATATGTTTAAACCACAGAAGACTAACATTGAAATTCAAATCAGCTTAGTTAATTACTCGAAATTATTGAGTGAACTCAATAATTTAAATGTGTAGCGGTTCAAAGATACTCGTCAGACAACTGGACTGATTCCAGTAATTTGCACGGTGCCCTGAATTCTGTTTCTGATATCATATTATTAGTTTGAATCCAATACTACCTGATTTATCGGACTGATAGAAACGTTCATCGGTTTAAATATTTAGAAAGGAATAAGTAATTAACAATGCATCACACAAAGCTAACTGTATAAATAATACGCTTCCGATCACAAATTAATTTAGATCAATTCAGTATTATTCATTTTATTAATCCAAATGAACAAATTAAAAAATAAATATGCTAATGCAAAAAATGCTAAAATGATTTTCGATCAAATGAAAATCCACTTATCTTCCCCTATTAAAGTCCTTGTTAGTGGTGTTATAACGGGTAAATAAATTAGTGTTGATTCAATACTCATTAGGAGAATGGCCTTGTGTGGTGGGACGACGGCTCCCTCTCAGCCTACCGAGGATGATTTGAGGATTTTAATGCCTGTTATTGAGAAATACTTGGAAGAGAAATGCGGTCAAAAGCCTTTTGATGTAAAGATTACTGACGTAAGCCGTCAAATTGTCGCTGGTGTTAATTATTTTGCGAAGGTGAGAAGTTCAATTCAAACGCAGTGATTTTTCAGGTTGAACATGATGGTAACGTGTGGCACATTCGCGTTCACCAACAACTGCCGTGTAATGGGGGATTGGTCTCAGTTCACAGCCATAAAGTAGCTCAGCCAAATGATTTACTGACTTACTTCTAATCTTCGTAGACATCCCACATTGATACCCTATTTTTAAGTTCATTGTTCATTTCAATCGTCTTGATTATAATGAGAATTTTGCAATATACCTTTATAAGCTCCAAATCCATCTGTTATTTTTAAATGGCTAATGTTCCCTTTTGTGTATTAATTATTGAGTAGTTTGTTTTAAGTGGAACTCGCAGTTTTCATTTTACTGAAATCATAGACCTGAATTTTAAAATGAGCGAAAAGGATGTTTCTTTTTAATTTGCGTTTCTGAAATGTATAATTGCTCTCCTCGAAATCGAGTCATTTTGTTGTCTTCCCTAATATTGCCTTCTCTGAGTACTCTTCTCGTGTTTAGAAAGGAATGAACAGGTTAGCCCTTAACTGTCGTTTGTTCACAATAAATGGGGGTGAATGTTAGTGTTCTCTATCCTACTTGAGTATTAAATCTAAAGTTCAATTTTCAAACGTGACTTGCATTTTACTCACCTCTCCGAACTATGAGATGCATTATTTTGTGAGGGAATTGAATTTCCGTCCATTGATTCGTCGGCTTTTGTTTCCTACCTTTCATGAGAAGAGACGCTTGATTAAGTGCTGGATCACGTTTGAAGGTTAGTCGTTTTTTGATGGCGAATATTCGACAGGGTTAACTTTTCAAATATGACACTAATTGGGCGCTCTAACTCATAAGTTGTTAGGCGTCCACTTAAGTGTGGAGCATTAGCATTTGATTAAACCTAGTGTGCAGAATAGGCTTTCTGCTACTATGTCCAAGCTTGATAAAATATATGTTTGAGGAGTGTTTTGGTGTTGGTCTCGCTTGTCGAGTTGGGAGTGTAGAAATAGGCTAGTTGCTCTCTAATGATGTTTGAGTTTATAATGAGATGCATTGAGGACTTGCAGACTCACATAAGATGCTCTTAATTATAATTGCCGAACTGAACTGGGTTAAACTGGTCTCCGTTTCAGGAAATGGTGACTTTGGAGACCTATGTGGCGTTTCGTCTAAAGCAATTAGAATTCAGTGTGGTCGAATCGATCCCAATAATGATACCAAGTTTAGCTGACTGTGCCATAACTCCCAAGCCCACAGAGGAAGACGTTTTGTGACATTTCATGGTTAGAAAGTCGGATTGGGCTTCTTACTATTTTGAGTCAGACTTAAACAGCCCAGTTCTGCTCACTGGATTCTAACTTGACAAGCGAGTACATTTACTGCAAAGCCAACTACATTAATGCCTCATGTTGGATCTCGTTTGGTTCTGAATCCCTGTAGAATTGGCACTTTACCTTACAAATACCGTGCCACCTGACTTAGTCCAAATCCGACGTCTGTGTTTATGTCACTATACGCGTTCTGAAAACGGTTTTGCAGTACATGCTTATGGGGGTAGTCCGTATGACTGAGCATGTCGTCACTTGCATATTCATTGTGGCGTTTCGACCTGACTTATTTGACCTCACCCCCAGATGTAATTTCCACTTCAGACTACATTAGTCAGCACAATATCCCCATTTCCTTCACATTTGATGCAGAACTTAAACGTTGAAATGAATTTGTTCCCCGAAGGCGCACTCTTGCTTCTGCTAACTTCGCTTCAGGCAAACAGATGAATTGACCTCGATTCGAGGTACCCTTTTAGTGTGGTCGATTTCAAAGGTAGGTGTTTGACGCTATGTAGCTGATGTGCTGAATCCATGGTTAAAATGTGTAAAAGTCTCTATGAGCTGCTGAGAGAGAAAAACAAAACAGTGGTCCGACAAAGCTGCTGGATGAGATAAAGGAATGTAGAAAACTCTATCAGCTGCAGAAAACAGCTGAGATAAGGAATGTAGAAAACTCTATGAGCTGCTGAGACAGAAAAGCAAAACAGTGGAAAACGCTATGAGCTGCTGGGAGAGAAAAACAAAACAGTGGTTCTATCTATGAACAGCTGAGATAAACGAATGTAGAAACCTCTATCAGCTGTTAGAGAGAAAAACAAAACAGTGGTCCTTTAGCAACCCAAAACAGCTGAGATAAAGGAATGTAGACAACTTTATGAGCTGCTGAGAGAGAAAAACAAAACAGTGGTCCTACCAAGCTGCTGGATGAGATAAAGGAATGTAGAAAACTCTATCAGCTGCAGAAAACAGCTGAGATAAGGAATGTAGAAAACTCTATGAGCTGCTGAGACAAAAAACAAAACAGTGGAAAACGCTATGAGCTGCTGGGAGAGAAAAACAAAACAGTGGTTCTATCTATGAACAGCTGAGATAAACGAATGTAGAAACCTCTATCAGCTGTTAGAGAGAAAAACAAAACAGTGGTCCTTTAAAGCTGCTGGATGAGATAAAGGAATGTAGAAAACTCTATCAGCTGCAGATGAGATAAAGGAATGTAGAAAACTCTATCAGCTGCAGAAAACAGCTGAGATAAGGAATGTAGAAAACTCTATGAGCTGCTGAGACAGAAAAGCAAAACAGTGGAAAACGCTATGAGCTGCTGGGAGAGAAAAACAAAACAGTGGTTCTATCTATGAGCTGCTGAGAGAGAAAAACAAAACAGTGGTCCTTTAGCAACCCAAAACAGCTGAGATAAAGGAATGTAGACAACTTTATGAGCTGCTGAGAGAGAAAAACAAAACAGTGGTCCTACCAAACAGCTGAGATAAACGAATGTAGAAACCTCTATCAGCTGTTGAGAGAAAAAACAAAACAGTGGAAAACGCTATGAGCTGCTGGGAGAGAAAAACAAAACAGTGGTTCTATCTATGAACAGCTGAGATAAACGAATGTAGAAACCTCTATCAGCTGTTGATGAGATAAAGGAATGTAGAAAACTCTATCAGCTGCAGAAAACAGCTGAGATAAGGAATGTAGAAAACTCTATGAGCTGCTGAGACAGAAAAGCAAAACAGTGGAAAACGCTATGAGCTGCTGGGAGAGAAAAACAAAACAGTGGTTCAACAATGGATTCCTGGTCATTGTGGCATTAAAGGCAATGAGCTTACTGACTCACTTGCTAGGAAGGGGACAATAACTTTGCAAGTCATAGACCTGCCGATGTCTTTCCACACAATGAAGGCCTTAATCAGGAGAGAATTCAAGACTTCAAGGTGTAACGAACTTAAGGCTCGAACAAAGGAGAAACAGTGGACAGTGGCACTCTCCAACATATATGTACCCCCCCCCCCCCCCCCCC